GTGTGTGTGTTTGTGTGTGTGTGTGTGTGTGTGTGTGTGAGTGTGTGTATGTGTGTGAGAGAGAGAGTATGTGTGTGTATGTGTGTAAGAGAGTATGTGTGTGTGTGAGTGAGAGAGAGTATGTGTGTGTGTGTGAGAGAGAGTATATGTGTGTGAGAGAGAGAGTATGTGTGTGTGTGTATGTGTGTAAGAGAGTATGTGTGTGTGTGAGTGAGAGAGAGTATGTGTGTGTGTGTGAGAGAGAGTATATGTGTGTGAGAGAGAGAGTATGTGTGTGTGTGTATGTGTGTAAGAGAGTATGGGTGTGTGTGTGTGTGTGTGTGTGTGTGTGTGTGTGAGAGAGAGTGTGTGTGTGTGTGTGAGGGAGAGAGAGAGTATGTGTGTGTGTGTGAGAGAGAGAGTATGTGTGTGTGTATGTGTGTGGAAAATGCCAGATTTAATCTTTAAAATTTCTATGATAAACCATTGAACTATAGAAATCTGCTCTTATGCATATATGTGTGTGTATACATATATACAAATACAGATGTGCAAAAGGGCAGATTTATATGTTTTGTTAGAGAATATATTGTATTATGCATTGTGTGTGTGTGACTTATCTATCTATACCCTTCCGTTCAAAAGTTTGGGATTAGTAAGATTTGTAATGTTTTTTAAAGAAGTCTCTTCTGCTCATCAAGGCTGCATTTATTTGATCAGAAATACAGAAAAAAACTGTAATATTGTGAAATATTATTGCAATTCAAAATAATGGTTTTCTATTTTAATATACTTTAAAATATAATTTATTGCTGTGATCAAAGCTAAATAAAAAGCAAAAAGGGCAACAACAAAAAAAAAGTAATAAAAAAAGCAAAATGGTTTCCAACATGGAATGAGCAGAAGAGACTTCTTTAAAAAACATTACAAATCTTACTGATCCCAAACTTTTGAACGGCAGTGTATATGCATGCAAAATTACTTTCTGTGCAAAATAGCAGATTTATATATTTTGTTATAGAATATATTGTATTATGCATTGTGTGTGTGTGTGTGTGTGTGTGTGTGTGAGAGAGAGAGAGTGCGTGTGTGAGAGAGAGTATGTGTGTATGTATGTGTGTGAGAGAGAGAGTATGTGTGTGTGTATGTGTGTGGAAAATGCCAGATTTAATCTTTAAAATTTCTATGATAAACCATTGAACTATAGAAATCTGCTCTTATGCATATATGTGTGTGTATACATATATACAAATATAGATGTGCAAAAGGGCAGATTTATATGTTTTGTTAGAGAATATATTGTATTATGCATTGTGTGTGTGTGACTTATCTATCTATACCCTTCCGTTCAAAAGTTTGGGATTAGTAAGATTTGTAATGTTTTTTAAAGAAGTCTCTTCTGGAGAGAGAGAGAGAGAGAGAGAGAGAGAGAGTGAGTGTGAGTGTGTCTTATCTTTATATACTTCTTAAGAAAGCACATGTTCCTCAAGGTCATTTATATGCAACCACAAATCTTGCAAACAAGTAAAGCACACCTAAATGCGCCCAAAATGTGCATCTGCTTCTCTAACCCCCTGCTGCACAGCAGTTGTTCACCGGCGGAGGTCACGCCTCTCCCGCAGCGCTCCGCAGATCTTACCGCAGCTCTCCGTCCAGGGCCTGGATCACCGCCGCGAAGCTCCGGCTGGTCTGGTTCAGATACGCGTAGCAGGTCCGCAGGGTTTCGCTCATGGAGTCCTGGCAGGAGAAGCACACATACGCGGGGTGTCGGTGAGTCCGGAGCGGGTGAGGAGCACGGGCCACCAGCCGCCCTTCCTGCGCGCTCCGACGCCCGCCCGTGAGCACCGAGCGCGGGGAGCCGCGCAGCGAGAATGAGCGCTTGAGCACGGAGAACGACACGGCGCTCTTACCGCCGACTCCAGCCATGTGCGAACGAGCTCCTGCAACGCTTGCTTTTGTTTACACTCTTAAACTTTATTTAAACTCTTTGTAAAGTCATTCGCCTGAGGGGAAGTGAAACGCCCGTCGCTCCGCGGAGCGTCAGAGGGGCGCGTTTTTACGCGCAAACGCACGACTGATATGACTGGTATGTAAACAGACGATTCGAGCCACTTCATCTCATATATTGAGGCTTTGTTATTGGCTGGGGTTTGATTCTCCTCCCCGCTTTAACACGCGCATGTTTTCAGGCCGACTGCTTTCAGACTACTACTCGAGTCAAGGACACACCTACTCAAACTTTAGGACTATTTTTTTTACATATTTTAAAATAACAGCAAAGTCATCAGAACTGTACATATGTAGTGACCAAAACATAACAATAAAATCTAAATAAAAAATACAAATAATCATTCAATCATTCTAATATGCTGCTCAAGAAACATTTCTGATTATTATTATTATTAATATTTAAAACAGTTGAATACATTTTTTCTTAGCAAGGATGCTTTAAATTGATCAAAAGTGATGATAAAGTCATTTATAATATTACAACAGATTTCTATTTCAGATAAATGCTGTTCTTCTAAACTTTCTATTCATCAAAGAATCCTGAAAAAATTCTACTCGGCTGTTTTCAACATAATAATAATAATAATAAATGTTTCTTAAGCAGCATATTAGAATGATTTCTGAAGATCATGTGACACTGAAGACTGGAGTAATGATGCTGAAAATACAGCTGCGCATCACAGAAATAAATTACCCTTTAATATATATTCACATAGAAAACAGCTGTTTTAAATAGTAAAAATATTTCACAATTTTACTGCTTTTGCTGTATTTCTGATCAAATAAATGCATGCTTGGTGAGCAGAAGAGACTTCTTTAAAAAACATTAAAAATCTTACTGTTCAAAAACGTTTGACTGGTATTTGAGCTTCTTCTAAGTCTAGTAGGTTATCCAGATGTATGCTGTTTTCCTTCACTATCTTCTACAATTTATGCAAGTTTTAAAAAATACATAATTTAATTCTATTCTAAAATCTATTTAAAAGTAGATTTTGTACATAAGATGATCTTATATTTATTTACAAAATTCATTTAAAGCATTTAATTCAGTCACCTGTGTGTGTCCAAACCTTTGACTAGTAGTGCACAGGCATGTATTAAAACAGTTACGCACATATTGGATCGTCGAACTGCTTGAACTGTTATTTGTATAAACTAATATACAGGCAGATACTCTTTAAACCATTGCATACAACTATGCAAATCACTTATATTAGTAATGAAAGGTTAACCAAGCAAGCCAAACAACATCTAAACACACATAATTCTTGACGCAATACAGTTTTAAATACTATAATGTAGATTTAAAAATATGTGCCATTAAACAAAATGTGCTTTCAGTTTACATTTACAGTTACAAAGTAACAAATGGAAAATGAAGATGCAGCGACATCTAGTGGTTCAGAGAACAACTCTATCTATCTATCTATCTATCTATCTA